TATTGAATTTTTTTTATATTTTAGGCAGGAAATTCGTTTTCAAATTTAGATTCTTTTTTTCATGGGGATGGACCCCCAGACCCCCTGCAGAATTTGGTCCCCCCTCCATGTTGACTCCATGGCTACGGCCTTGATTTATATATCATATTGTACTCGGCGTAAACAATACATATTCCCTAAAGAAGGCGAGTTATCAATTTACTACCGGTGACAGTAAACACTGCTTTTATTTTTTTATTCAACTAACATATACACTTATTGACGTCTGAGTGCGTACTTTACATATAGAGAGGATCGTGAGTGAGCGACTCATGTATATTATAACGGGGTTATAGAATAGCCCGAATGTTGGCATTTGGCACAAATATTGTCGAGAATTGAAAACGTTAAATCCATTAAAACTAAAAATGGTAAACTTTGGATCCCCGAAAGGACTGGTTCAGATATCACTCGCCACTGATGATGTTAGCCGTGCCCGGGAATCGAACTTAATTCGCCCAATCCGAATGCGCATGAAGTGCATGTTCAGAGCACAGCTAGTATAGCACATGTATATATATACACACATAACCGGTGTCATCATATACGGCGCAGTACAGCCGTTTGCCAATCCACTGCTGGACGATGGTCTGCCTCGTGCTGTGTGGGCTATGGGGTCAACGGGTCAAAGTGAACTCCTGCTCACGTGAACATTGATGCCGTTTCTCAGCTCTGAGCTCGTGCTGAAAATTGTGGCCTTCCCTACAGAGTATATATCTACGAGGGTGGTACTAATTTTATCGACCCCGTATTGATGATGGGCTGACTAACCCCCCCCCCCCAACCAGGATTTGAACTCTCCACCTTCAGATTGCGAGCCTGTCGCTCTGCCGTTGACACACACCTGGCCGGGACGACAAACATATCGTCAAATATTTGCGCGTGCGTGCGAGTGTGATGATCACTGCGCCACCGCTCCCCCCGGCCGGCCTCCGTTCTTATCGTCACTGCGCATCTCGGCACGTTCCGCATACCCCGTGGGGCGGGGGGGGGGTGACGGGCGGGAGAGAGAGAGAGGGGGGGAGCGATGTTACGCTCTCTACAAGTGCCGAAGGCTCGGGAATATATGACCCAATTTGCCAATTACTGTGCAGTTGCCATTTATAGGTCCGTTAAGCGGCGCGACTCAACATGACGGAGAACGTGGCGGGCACATTTATATTAACACATGTCCGTCGCGCCCAGTTGGGGTGTGCGCGCGCGCGTTTTTTTTTGTTCGTGGGGAGCGGTGGCGCAACGGTTAGCGATTCACCCTATCGCGGTCATCCACCGGTGGCGATTATTTGAACCGGTACTGGGCCTCCCCTAGGTCGACTCGGCCTCATACGAGTACCCGGTGTGATGTGTCAACATCGCCACTGACCGCAGCCGCTCTGTAGTGCTGGCCACCCTGCACCCCCTCGTGTGCCACATTGGGGGACATTCATAGGCGCTGCTGCTCACTAACAACACTTGCCCCAACAGTCTGTTAAGGCTACACGTGAGATCTTTGAGCAAGCAAACTGTGTGTCCATACACACAGTTCCACCGCTTGAATAACAACACAGTATATATCGCTGCACATACATACATATACATACACATTCAAATAGCCTATTTGCCCAAGCTGGGATAACCTTGATACATTTCAAGAAGTGTGTTCATAATTCTTCGATAACCGTGTTCTTCATTGCTGGTTGTTTGACGTTTTGAGTGATTGGGTGTCTGTCCTGAGCAACTGTTTTAACACATCATCATCATCAGCCAAGATCAATCCACCATTCTGTATGCACCAACATTTAATATCTGTGCATGGTATGTATATATATATTTCAACATTTAAATATGAAAGTCGTAGAGCACTGTATATGTAACTTATCTACCATATACCATCATTTAAATACCGCAGCAATTTAATATCATATTCGTCAGAGTTTAAGCAATATAACGAGTTAAAGGATACAGTATATGCATTTAAATGACAGTTTGTACAGCATATTCAACCAGCATATAAACAAGGTTTATAGTGCCCTATATATAGTACAAGCATTCACATAATCATTTGGATGGTATATACACACTCATTTAATTAATACTTTCTAAATATGAGCATTTATATAAAGGTGTATACAGAATATGAATATGTATGCAGCATATCCGTCAGCATTTTAATTTCCGTCTGTTTCACATCTATACCAGAATTGAAATAACAAGTTATTGTTTTAAATATGTTTTAATAAAATAATGTGATTGCCAGTTTTTTATCGCATGCATGTACAGTGCATGTGCTAGACTTCACGCATCCCAGTGCTGAATGAATGGCCACACCACGCCGTGCTCGTAGAGGTTATACATTTGTGACGATGTTGGGAAAGAAGATCCCATCGATATAACCGCTTAAAACCCAGCGATTAATAATTTGGCGCTTGCATTGTGCTTGTACTGGTCGCCACTTGGCAGCCCTTGATAGTTACTGGTGAGACAAGGCCATAATATAGGCTGTCCACGGTGTAGACCGATCAGTTCCAAGGACAATGCATGCATAGATTATCAAAGCATATTTGTGAGCATCTTTCACTACAAGTATGTGTGGTTCATGCAGCCTTGGTGCCTTGCAATATGTGTCTATTTGGTGTTTTAACATGTCGACGCCTGTTATCTTGCCAGAAATTATAAAGTATTTTTAATAGATATATAACCAGTTGTATTGGTATATAAAGCAGTATTTAAATAGCAGTGTGTGTAGGACATGTACCAGCGTGTTCTATATATATGAGTATTTAAATTAACAATTTGTGTGGTGTGTATATATATAAAGTTATACAGACTATATAAGTTGTACAACATATGTACTAGAATTGAAATAATGGTGTGTATAGTATTGGAATATAACACACACCATAGTGTATGATAAATGTATGTATATATAGCAGCAATTAAGTAGCTGGCTACGATACGATATATTATCATTTCTATAACAATGTATACAGCATAGAATTCTAAAGCTGAGAATTACTTTTCATCACTAAAAATATTCTTATAAGCCACAACACTGCTTACGTGAATGAAAATATATTTAAATTTCATTTTTAGTTAACAAGTTTACAACTACAACTTTTCATTAGGACCATTCGATTATTGATCAATACAACATGTCGTCGGTACATTATGGACAAATATCACAATAATAATCATCATCATCATAATTTTCAACATGAAACATTATTACTGATTAATGGAAGTCCCGCGGTTGCTCTTTCTGGGAAAAAACAACAACACACGCGGTCACATGTTAGATGCAAATAAGAGTCATCCTTTTGTGATCTATTAAATTACGTTCATTAATGCTGTAGAGTAAAGCCGGCCATCTGAGTTTGATTCCAAGCCACGGTGGTTCATATGCGTGTCGAGTGATTTCTAACGGCCTTTAGCGTCACACTCCACGGGAGGCGAACTACTTGGTTCACTGATTATGGGGATCGTCTGCTTTGTTCGTGTTTATCGCGAGACCTGCATCCATGTAGGACTGTAAGCTGAGCCAGCCCTCGCGAGAGTGACAGCGATTACCCGGCACGCTGTCATCTCTGCGGTCAAAATTGTACCTTTATTTTTTATTCATCTGAATGTTCGAGTCACAAACACAGACTCGGCTCTATTTGTGGCAACATTTTACCGTTCAATCCCATCGGGAACATCGTTAGAATGCCCACCAGTCACTCGGTCACCAGCGCCATGCATGTCACACGTAAACGTCACGTGGGTAAGATTTGGTTTCATTCAGGGCCTCACCTCAGCCGGATGGGATCGGGTCACTGACCCTGGAAAATGTCCTCACCCCGGCACACCGCAAGCAGCAAACATCTCCCTATGACTGTGGCTTCCAGTCACGTGCCACAGAGTCCATAGTCTACCAGCGACTCGGAATATATTTGGTGAGAATTTCAATCCATTACGTCATGGAAACGCAACGCGTCTTGTTCTCTGTCAAGTTAGCATCGACACAACCGAGTGACCGTGTGTGCATCGTATCGGTTGTTCACGTGCCGCAAGCTCACCATAGCTGTTCGACGTAGCAGCTGCCTCTGTGTTGGAATATCGAACTTCGCAGACGCGCACAAAGACGAAGAAAAAAAAATCCCCTCTGTAGCCTACGTAGACTGTTGGGGTGAATCGCTGTTTGCGAGCACCGATTGAGGCGTGGACGGCCCACACCAAGGCAGCGTCTGCTTCCCCAGTGTTGATGTATACACAGATCAAGGCCGAGTCGACCTAGAGGAGGCCCAGCACCCGATCCGATATCGCTCGTCCACTTATGTTAGTCATGGGCGGGACTCGAACCCAGGTGGCTGCCTTCGTAGCGCAGCGCGGATGCCACTTGTCGGAACGTCGACCTGAATGGAGCACGCACAGACGGCACACTCTCTACAAATGCACAGCACCTAACCGTAGCTCTCGTAATTCCAACACACAAACAACGGCCGCGTTATTTCATTGTAGCCTCGACACCCCACACAGACACTACCACAAGCCTCACACATGGCAGCTTTACACTCATATCACTTGCAACGCGTGCCAGTATGAACACACACACACAGAGCACCATCAACACGAACACACGGCCCTGCAAACACGCGTCCATAGAGTGAACAACGTCTGACACGCATACAAATACAAAGATCCCCCGCGTAGCCTTAATATGCTGTTTGGGGCAAGTGTTGTTAGCGAGCACCTGTGAAGGCCGGCACGGCACACGAGCTGGGAGGGTGGCCAGCACCGCTGCCGACCGCCTTTGTCTCTCCAGTGACGATGTTTACACACCACAAACCAGGTACTGGTTTGAGGTTGAGTCGACCTAGGGGAGACCCGGGGCCGCTTCAGATATTCGTCACTGGTGAAACAGACACGCACACGCACGCCTCCCCTGCCTGCCCGCGTGGCGCGTGACCCGGTGCGCGCGCCCCCGTGTGTGTCGCGCGCCCCAGCAGGGAAGACCCGCACCAAGGACAAGTACCGCGCCGTCTACTCGGACCACCAGCGCTTCGAGCTGGAGAAGGAGTTCCACTTCAACCGCTACATTAACATCCGCCGCAAGGCCGAGATCGCCGCCTCGCTGGGGCTCACCGAGCGCCAGGTAATTCGTAACGAACGCCCGCCCATCCCGCGCCCAATATATGGGGGGCGCCGCGGTGGCGAGATGTTAACTACCTCTCCTGGATTCCAGGAGTTTGCGTGTCTCTCTCCCCGTGGTCCCGTGGATTTTTCTCAAGGTCCTCCGGTTTTTCCCCTCCATATTTAGAAACGACGTCACGCGTTTAGGGCATTTGGCTGCTGCTGTACATTTCCACGCAACGAGCCACTTCCTTGGGCCATCATTTGTGGCTAGGTCGCTTCTGGTCAAATAAAGGAATAGTTTAATATATACACAGCAGGACCGTAACTAGCGTAGAGGCAGGGGCAATGGCGGAGCCAGGATTTTCAGGTAGGGGGGGTAACCCCTCCAGCAATGAAAAATGATAGAGGAGTTGTTAGTAAGGAGTTGTTAGTAAGTAAGGAGTTGTTAGTAAGGACTTGTCCCTTGCTTTTTATTCGACGCGTGTGCGGCGATGACGCAGCCATCGATCGAGGGTCGAATTCGAACCGCGTTGTGTGATCGGCGTAGCACTCGCTAAAGGTGAATGCCTTCAGGGAAGTCGTGGACTGTATACGCAACTCCGCACAATTCTGAGTCACTTATAACTGCTTTGCCGTTACTTATTGCCAATTATGGACTCAGACTATTGTCCTATCATCTCATAGAGTCCCTGGCACGTAATAATATCCTGCACAGTGGCAGTGGGGGTCGCAAAATGCCAATTTCTTACTAATAAACCCCAAATGATATCCGATCGAAATTAGGGATTTCGATCGGATCATTGGGGGGGCACGTGCCACCCCCCCCCCCCCCCACTAGTGGCCAAAGCTACGAGTTGAGGCCTCCTTGACAACCACCACGAGATACGTTTTCAAGAACAGTGTCAAAGAACAAAAAAAAACGTATTTAAAATGCGGTTACATTTTTCTTTTCATGCAAACGTTTCATTCACGTTCCACGATTAATTTCCATTTAAACAGAGCAGCGACGTAATATTGCACAGATCTACTCTACTGCGGAGCTGTGGTGGCAGCGTTTCGCGAAAACGGAGCACCTCTGCAGCGTTAAATGTTCGAGACCGTAACGATGTCGTTAGGCACGAGGAGCCGCGATGTATATAATAGCCGAGGTGATGCCGTGCGAGACAAATCAAATATTGTGACCCCGCCGAGCCAATACTGCTCAACGTGAGCACTCCCCGAAGACCACGCGGCTGACGGGATGTGTTAAAGTACTCCCCACCCCCTTCCAGCGCGTCTCCCCGGCGTGGCCGAGTAGACCAAAAGCGCCGTCTGGAAGGGGGCTGTCTCGAGCTCCCTCTGGCGGAAGCCAGCAGTGGCGAGAGCGAGACATTGCAGGGCTGCGCCTCGCCCTTTCCTTCACCGATAAACCACCATACGTGCGTACGTTGAACTTTTTTCGCACCGTACGAAACCGACCACGCTAATCGGAGCTGTGGGAGGGGGGGGGGTCGGGAAGGAGGACAACAAACTAAACACAAAAAGCAGTTTAAATAAAAAAATTCAATGGAGATGATTTAAAAGTGTATAGCTCCAGTGGCTTCCTAATATTGACCCACGTGTCTGCACGCTTCCAGTGGCCCAATCGTGTGGGTAAGGGCGCTCCGAACGCTCACGCCTGCTCTCCGAGACGTTGCAACGAGCATTGATTTGCCACTCTGTTGCCCTGCTTTTGTCCTCGATGTTGTTGTTGTTTTTTTTTGTGTTCAGTGTGATCTCACCTCTCAGGTTGTACCTCCCGTGGCACAGATTAAAACGTGCCCGCCGTCACGCCCGCCCCGACCGACTCCCACGTTTCGCTCGACTCCCGTTATGGTTAATCTTTACACAATTAAGCTATTGTCAGTCGCGATACCAAAAACGCATTGGCCGCATGATTTATTCCATTCGAGGGCACAAAAGGCCACGGGGCGTCTCTTTTTTTTTACTGCAGCTCTCTCCCGTTGGGAGAAATTAACACTGGCGCGCCTGCGTGTGTACATATGTGTGTGTGTGTGCACACGGGTATATACTGGCAGATCCATGTATAGATACCCCACTAAAACAATAGGCAGGTATTTATAGGGAAGACAACATTTGTTGTTTTCTCGTCGTTTAAGCCTCGGCATCAGCGCTTTCCCGTCAATCCGTGGGGAAGCCTCTCCGCTGGGATGCAGGCCACGGCACGGACACCTTGCAGGGTGGCATCATCGCGAACGTGACCGGGGAACGTCAGCTCCACGGATACAACGCAAAACAAATGACTTGCAAAACACCGCGTTGACTGTAGGTGTCTGCGTACACGTGCTCTATCATCTGTGTATTGTAGCCTCGGTAACCTGGGGGAGAGGTTGGGGGGGGGGGGGCAGTGGTGTTGATTTGGCGGGGGAGGGGGCATACCCAACAGGTTCAGAGACCACTGCTATACGCGTCTGCCACCGATCTCAAGCTACGTGAATGATCGTTGCACGCTTAGACCGACGCAGCCCACAACCATCCCATGATGTATAAATCTGAGGTTTTCGAGAGCACCTGTTGAATGGAATGGAAAGTCGAGGGACCTTTGGAAGCCAGTGAGGTATCTACAAATGACTCGCCAATGGAATGTGTCACGTAGACCAGTGTATACGTGTGCTTAGGTTTTATTTGAAGTCAGCCATACGTTCTCACTGCTGGCTGGCAATACTGCACAGCGATCGGCGAATGAAAAGGCACTCCCTGGATGAAGCGATCACGGTCGCGTTAGAGGGCAGTGGGAAGGAGGAGCGTCGTTACTCGATTGGCTAGGAGGGTAACGTTGAGGATGATGGTCAGAGGGAGAGCGAGTGCTAATAATGGTTGGGTGGCTATTTGGTTCGGATTAGCATCCCAGGGAGGGCTTGTACGAGCGACTGGTTGGTTAGGTGTTACGAGTAAGGTGATGGTCGTTGGTTGGGTTAGTTATAATGGCTAGTTAGCTAATTGGTTTAGGGGTAGTGATGATAGTAGTGGCTTGCTGACTGGTCAATTAGTGTTCGAGTCATTGATCAGTCTGGTACTAGTGGATCATTGTCATGAGGTCGTGGGTTCGATTCCGACCCTGATGCCTATATATTTGAAGTTTGCATGTTCTCCCCATGGTCGCGTGTATTTTTCATTTAGAAACATACATCACGAGTATTTAGCTGCTATAAATTTCCACAAGATGAGCCACTTCGTTGAGCTATCATTTGTGGCGAGGTCGCTTCTGAAAATAGCCTTACAGCTCAGTGAGCCTTACCTGGTCATGTAAAAATAGCTTTAGTTTAGCGTTTGGATCATTGGTAGGGCTAGTACAAGCGGCCGGTTGACTGGCCAATTATGATTCGTGCCATCATTTGACTGAGTTGTTTGCTCCATTCCAAAACTGCAAGGCCCTCTAGCCCTTAGTCACAATATCGGATTTCGAAGCGTTTCGGCTGCTCCTCGTTCCCGGTATCCACAGCGCCGCTCACCTATCACGCCGTTCTCCCTGTCGCACGCGCAGGTCAAAATCTGGTTCCAGAACCGAAGGGCGAAGGAGAGGAAGTTGATCAAGAAGCAGCTGCAGCAGCAGCAACATCAACAGCAGCAGCACCAGCAGCAGCAGCAGCAGTCGGTGATCCAGACGGCGATCGTGACGGGTCACGATGGCACGCTGCACGATCCCGATTCTCTGGTGTCCGTGCCGGGGATGAATGACGTGCACGTGGTCAACATCGAGACGGTGCAGCGATAACCACGCGGACGCACGTCTCCCGCTCGCTCGCTCGCTCGCTCGCTCTAAATATAAAAACGCACGCAAAGAATCACCGCAACAGCGGCAGCAAAGACGCTGCACCACACGCACGCACGCGCACAAGGCGGCGACGGAAAGAGAAGCGAACAACCTGGGAGGGCGCCCCACGCGGCGTACGGATGACGCGAGTCAGTCACCGTTGGCGAGGTACTGACACAAGCAGGTGATGGACGGCTCCAGACGGCTCCTCTGGTCGTGTGAGAGAATCACCGTCAGGGCCAAGTGGTGGCTCCTCGGGTGTGTGTGTGTTTTGGTGCACCTCCCAGGAAATTTAACAAAAATAAATGGGGGGTGGGGGGGATTTGGATGGGGGGGGGGAGGTTGGGGCGCCTGTGGGGGGTGGGGGGTTGTGGGCACCACGCAACTGCCGAGAAGAGAGAGAGCTGCTGCTGCTGCTATGGGTAGGGCGTTGGGGAGTTTGCAAACTCTGCTCGCCACCACCGGCGGATGGAGAAGATGGGACGACTGCAACGAGAATTGCGAGGGGTTTCACTTCGCTCTCTCCCAGCCACACGTCGATTTGCACGCGGTCGCATCGATGAAGATCTGATTTTAAACAAACAAAAAAGTGTGACTTTATGCATTTCCTTTGACGAAGAGCGTTGTAAATGTATAGCTGCGTGTGTGTTTTAATGTTTGTTTGGTTTGTTATGCTCGTTTTTGAGAGCACGTGGTTTGGTTAATCATAGCAAATAACGGAATAGAGCTCTTCTTATCTGCTGTTACGTGACGGGGGGGGGGAGTGAACATCGCAGATCCTATTATGCGCGAACATATTCTAGATTAGAGCGGATAATAGGAAGAATCGGTGCCGTGGATAATAGGAGTGATTCATGGACCCAATGGCTCACGGATAGGAGGAGTCGCGAGTAATAGGGTTGTGGATAAGAGGAGTTCTAACAGACACCCACGTGGTGACGTTTGACCTGTGAATACAACTTTCCCTGTCGATGTTGCACATCTGCATGGTGACTCGTTTCTATAAATAGCCGAGTAGTGCTTCGGCCATCAGAGACGGAACGCTCTCTCTTTTTTTCTCTTCCTTACCTCTCGTTATACATAATTAACATTACAGTATAGGCCTCTGCAATAGCCCCGTACCTTGATTGATCATTTTATATATTTAGGGCCATCCTTTAAAAATGGAAGATGTGGCTGTAAGAGTAAAGTGCTGTCTGCTGCAGACAAGAGAGGCAGTCTAGACG